TGACCTGGTTTTCCCTGCTGATCCTATAACAGAATTCAAAGTGGATGAGACTTCACAAGTTTCTGGGGCATTGTATGGTGCTTCCATAATCGAAATAAGGAGGAGCCAAGTTGCAGATGACTTGCTTGTAATTCCTAAATCTGCTCTCTACCAAATTTGTTACTTACTATACACATTATTACATCCTAATTATTTCCCAGAAAACAGCACATCCTTGTGAGACTGCTGTCTGGGGAAGACCATATTTTCATCCTTGTTATTTTTAGATGCACATTCATATCTGGTAGCCTGCTTGGCTAATAAAAAAAAAAAGAATAGTGTGTATCTGCAAAATAGCATGTGCGTTTTTTGAGCAATATTTGCACATTGAACATTATGATTTATGAAGCTTTTCAAATCTCCTAGGTTGTAGTCACATCTGGGGAAAATGTCACAGAAGTACAGCCACAACTTGATGCAATAGTTAAATGTCCTGGAAGGGGGATAATTGTTTCAGGGATTGCTCCTCCAGGATCAGGATTTGACTTCTTCAGTCGATTCTTCTGCCCAAAATTTGGAATCAATGAGGTAAGTGACTGATATATTTTGATTAGTATATTCCTCTTTTGATTCATAATTAGTTAAAACGCTAGAGTGAAGCTCTGAGCCTCTACTATATGTCTAGCAGATCTCGGATCTAGTTTTATAATATATGATAGCAAACCATTCACCTTTTTTTTATTTAAACAAAAGAACTTCGGATCAAGATACATAATATTTTTTGTGCTACCTATTTTTACAAGGTCCACAGTTAGATCATTTAGTGGAATTGGTAAGAATATCAAAAGAAAATGCAATCTTCATTAAACTCCATTTTATCAGATATAGAATCAATGAGATAATGTTAAATTACTCTTATTTCCTTTTCAGGATCCTGCCTGTGGGACTGCACATTGTGCCTTAGCATCTTACTGGAGCAAGAAGCTGGGGAAATGTGATTTCAATGCTTATCAGGTACTCTCCTTTCACTTGTAGTTGGAATTATCTTTTTGATCGTTATACTAATCTGTAGATTACACTTTGGGCAGGCATCACCAAGAGGAGGAGTTTTCAATATTCATCTAGACGAGCAGAACCAACGAGTGCTTTTGCGTGGGAAAGCTGTTACTGTGATGGAAGGGTGTATTCTGGTCTAGTTCTGTTCTTAGCATTTCAGATTATGTAACCAGAATTGAAAATGGAGTACTGTATTGTTATTATGCTTTATGCCAGCAAATCTGTATTTGATAGAGTTACACACAAACCTGGTTGTGCAATATAACAATCACATTTGCTGTATAACCTGGATTCAATGTATTAGCCAGTTCATTGCTTTTGTTACCAGATCTTCCACCCTTCTCCACAAAAGCAAACATACTCATCAACACAATGCATTGCAACCATCCATGCCTAGTAATTGAGTTATTTTATGATATTTATTTGAGAGAATATTTTATAAAAATTATTTTTATCATACAAGCATAATATTTTATAAAAATTAAACATGGGAAATTATTCATGAGTCTCTATTTATAGAAAAAAATTGTTATATAAAATTAAATATTAATATTATCTTATTCTAAAAATAAGGAAATTTTTTTTAAAATAATTAAAATAGATTAAATCTAAATATTTAAAATATAATTCTCCATGTTTAGGCATATGAAGAAGTGTAATTTCGCTACAATCTTTATGGAATGAATTTCTATATCTGACAAACAAACAAAAGTATATGCTTGTTAATATTTCCATATTGGATTCCCATCTAGATGAATTTTGTAAACAGTCCCAATCCAAGTTCCACAGTCTAGGAAATGCGATTAGTCTTTTTGTTGTGTGATTGAGCTAGAGGTTTGTGTAAAATGCGAAAGCCAATTTCAACTTGTACACCTCTTGCTTATATTCTATTTATTTCTCTTATTTTCAACTAATGTTACGACCCTCTCATTTTCTAACACATCACCCCGGTCTATTATCCTAATTACCAATGCACCATAAAATGGACCAACATTGTACCATATAAAAGTATATCATCACTATAATATAATAATTTTGTGTCTATCTCTTTATTACACAATAAAATAAATAAATAATTTTTTATATTATAAATAAGAGAAATATATATAATAACTTATATATATATATATATATATGTTTTCACTACTTCATTTATTATAGCATTTTTTTAAAAAAAATTGATGTGGTTGAAGATGTTATACAATATTTTTGTTGTATATATGTATCATTATTCCTTTTTTGTTTATCATTTATTGGACTAATGCTTCATAAAGTCTACCCTTGAAAATCGTGAGACACTTGCTCATCTTGATAAATTTCTCCCTCTCATCGTGTTGTGTGTCATCTACTATGGCAAAGAAACCTGTGAAATACTTTGTGGTAAGTTAATGTGTGAACTATGTTAATTTGTTTTGAACTAGGTTGTGTGGTGAATGTATGAGTTAACATCCAGGTGGACGCGTTCACTGAGTGTGCGTTCAAGGGGAACCCTGCGGCAGTGTGTTTGCTGGAGGAGGAGAGGGAGGACACGTGGATGCAAAGCATAGCAACCGAGTTCAATCTCTCTGAGACCTGCTATTTGACTCGGATTGCTGAGTCTGAGAGATCTCATATCTCGCTCAAAGAACACTCAACAGATTGTTTCCACCTCAGATGGTTCACTCCTACCACAGAGGTGAATCTATATTTCTTACTTCTTATTCAGTGTCCTTTACTTGTGTTAAACTATATCACGTTTAACCATCAACAAAAGTACATTTCTTTGTTTGAAATTAAGAAGCATGTTTTGTCTAGTGTACTTCTCCCTTTCCAGATGCTTGATTGAGAGCTACTATTAAGTGTTAACGTTCTTGGTAATTGGTATCTTTCGTAGGTTAAACTTTGCGGCCATGCCACGTTAGCATCTGCACACGTTCTTTTCTCCTCCGGTTTGGTGAAATCCAACACTATTGAATTTGTGACTCTGTCTGGTGTTCTAACTGCCAAAAAGGTCTCAGGGATCAATGGTGCAGGTGCCTCAGAAGATGGATTTTTCATTGAACTGGATTTCCCTGCTTATACAGTTATTGAATTCAATTCTGCTGACATTTCACAAATTTCCGCCGCTTTGAACGGTGCTCCTATTATTGATGTAAAGAGGACAAGCGTTGGAGATCACCTCTTGGTAATTCCTTGTATCTGTTTCTAGTTTTGTTTTGTTTTCTGGCACCATCAAACACACTCTTTGTTTCATGTCTGCTAAGTGCTAAGGTCTTTACTAATGTAATATATTCTGTTCAAATATATGATGTGTTAATCATGTTGATTATTGGGAAACTTATAGCGTGTGGAGTTGAATAGTAGAAATTGCATATTGTGTGAATGATGAAGCTAATGATGTTTTCTAGGTTGAACTTGCTTCAGGAAAAGATGTTGTGGAACTGCAGCCAGATATTGGTGCAATAGCAAAATGTCCTGTAGGGGGCTTCTTTGTTTCTGGAACTGCTCCTCCAGAATCTGGATTTGATTATTACTGTCGGTTCTTCTTTCCGAAATTTGGAATCAATGAGGTAATATGTTAGTACCTAGTACAATCTGTTTTCTGTTGTCAAGTGGCTGAAAAAATAAACAATCTCAATGTGTCCCAAATTTGGCTGCAACATCAAGGTTTTGGAGTTTTATGCTGCAATTCGGCTGTTTTGGCCGAACTATGGTTCGTTTAAGGAGTTGATTTTTCTCGATAAATATTCTGTTATTGCATATCTGGTTATATGTCAACTAACCTTGTCATGTTATTGCATTATATTAACATTGAGTGCATCAAGTAAGACTACTAACCATACTATTGAAAACCAGTAGTTAGGGACTGCATACTCCATGCCAAATTCATTTTTTCTCTCATTTGTATATCTGTTGTATATATAGCTTAGCTAACTAAGAAGTAGCGTTTTACATGAGTAAATTGAAAACTATCTGTTTTACGTAATATAAGAAAGTTTTCTTCCAATTTTTTCCTTGTATTCTGAAGTATTAGCTAGGGGGTGTTGAATCATTGTTGATTCGCTTCAGGATCCTATCACTGGAAGCGCACAATGTGCCTTGGCACCTTACTGGGCCAAAAAGTTGGGAAAGTGCGATCTCAGTGCTTATGCGGTACTCTTTTCTCTTCACTTATTGGTATGGTATATTATTTTTAATTTTTATACTAAACTTATGGAGTTACTTTTGAGCAGGCATCAGCTAGAGGTGGAGTTGTCCATGTTCATTTTGATGAGCAGAGCAAAAGAATACTGATGCGTGGAAAGGCTGTAATTGTCATGGATGGCCGTCTTCTGATTTGAACTCTTGTATAACGTTGCGAAGAATAATAGACTCAAAAGTTGTAATTGGATTTCAATACCTTAACTATATTCTAAACTCGATTTATATAAACCAATACTTGTTATTTTCCGTATTTTATATCAGTAAAGTATAAACCCATTTGTGCTTTTTCATGTAATTTGAGTACTTGAGTTTATCTTGTAACATTGCCTTGTACAAATGTGAGCAATTTTATTTTTAGATGATAAAATTGTTGGGATACAAACAAGTCCCACATCGATAAAATAAGAGAAAAAATAACAACTTATAAAACATACGCATACTTCAATGAAAGAGAGGTATTTTGGGTGGTGTCCAAAAGTAAAATTGTGAGGGTTTGGGTCTAAAGCAGACAATATGTCACCAATGTGGAGAATATACTCAGAGAGTATCCAAAAGCAAAATCGTGAGAGCTTAATCGTGAGGGTTTGAGTCTAAAGCGGACAATATGTCAAAATCGTGAGAGCTTAATCGTGAGGGTTTGAGTCTAAAGCGGACAATATGTCACCAATGTGGAGACATGTGTATATGTGTGCTAATTCCCCAATTCCCAACAAGTGGTATCAGAGTCGATGATCTGATCAGGTAAAGCGGACAATATATCATTAATGTGGAGACATGTGTATATGTGTGGTCAAGGTTGTCAATCTCTAGAGTTTACGTAATCTCGTGGAGGCTCCGTAAACTCGTAAAAGATTACTCAATAATAAATAAATAAATAAAAATAACATAATAATTGAACATTTTAACTCCCAAATAGCAAATTACATTAATAACAAATGTTCTTAACACAAATTTAAGATCAAAAGTTCACACAAATGACAAATAAAAAATAAAAATGTAAAATTTAAAAACCCTAACCTGGGTCGCACAAAACTTATTTGCGCACAGAGAAGAAGAAGAGCAGAGGTGGAGACGCGGAGGAGAAGGAGGCGCGCGCGGAGGTGTCGCGCGCGCGAAGGAGTCGCGCGGACCAGGTGATGCGCTCGCGGTGGAGTCGCGCGGAGAGGAGAAGAGACTCGCGGCGGTGTGGCGCGGAGAGGAGAGGAGACGCGCGGAGGTGTCGCGCGAAGGAGGTGAGGCGCGCGGAGAGGAGAGGAGACTCGTGGAGGTGAGGCGCGCGGAGGAGTCGCTCGGAGGAGGTGAGGCGTGCGCAGATGGGTCGCGCGGAGGAGGAGAGCCATGGAAGAGGCGCTGCGGAGGAAGAGATGGTCTGGAGTGGAGAGGAGAGTACGAGACGAAAGTGCCCTAACACACAACACAAAACGTGCGTTTTGTGTAAGTGAAAAAAAAAACGGTGATCTCTTAATATCGGAGGTAGTCTCGCGAGTTTACACGAGTTTACCCGAGTTTACCGAGATTGCTCCGAGTTCACTAAAAAACGAATTTACCTTCGAGTTGTACAGGTAAGCTCTTGTAAACTCGTAAACTCGTACGAGTTTACGAGTTGTCACTAGAGATTGACAACCATGTGTGTGGTAACCCTCCATTGCTCAAAAAGTGGTATCAGAGTCGATGGTCTGAGCAGGTGATCGACTCGACAAGTATGATAGTTGGTAGATGAATCCTAACGGTGGGTCCATGTGGAAGAGAGGCTTTCCAGTAACATGGAGGATTAGGAGGCTAACATGGAGGATTAGGAGGCGTGTCCCGCTGTCATGATGGAGCGGCGATGCCTTTTGGGTGATGACCAAAAGCAAAATTGTGAGAAATGCTTAGGCCCAGCGGACAATATCTCATTATTGTAGAGTTGTGTGTATAATAACCTTATAAAAATATTCTCTCAGACAAATATTATAAAATAACCTCAACAAAAATGTAAATTATCATTTAATGAGCAAAATTTTTACTAGTCTGTAATCGATAAAAAAAAATATTGTTTCTTTGTTCTTTTAAATCATTTAAAGGATAGACATAAACATTATTGAAATTGCAATCCAATAATTTTTAGAAGTTAACACATCAACAAAAAAGTGCTAAAACAAATAAATCTAAAAAAAGGTGGCTACCTCAACGCAAATCCTTGTGATTTTTCCTTTTATTTAGTGTTTTTGGAGGCATGATTTAAAGTGAATTAGAAGCAAATGGAGATAATTTGAAGAGAATTAAAAATAGTTAAGTTGTTTTCGGGGGAGGGGGGGGGAGGGGGGGTGATTTACGAGGATTTAAGTATAAATAGATACGAGTTTCATAGAGAAAAAAATACATCTTAAAGAAAGACGATTTACTAAAAATTTAAGAAAAAGACAAATTTTATACATTAGTTTTTTTTTTTTTTGTCTCATTCTACTAAATAATGATTAGATATAATAAAAATATAATTTTAAATTACTCATTTCTTTCTATTTCTTGTTTAATTCTATTTTATAAAATAACTACAAATTTTCCTCTATATTCTATCAAATCAATTTATCACTTAATCTCTCTTGTTCCCTTCAATTTCTCCCCTTCTCCCAAACAAATCATTAGTCTTCCTCTCAACTTGAGGAGGTTCTCTCTGAGGGAGGAAGTCTCAACAATTGGTTGGAACAATCACCTTACAACATCTTGTTACCTATAGCTTGTTGAACATGATCCCCTATTAGGTTGCGAATATCAAACTCCTTGTTGCCGCTACTCATCATGATCCCTATCAAAGAAAATCAAGTCAAAATCAATATAGCATATGCCTAAACATTAGAAAATGAAATAATACTGCAATAGACTCATAGAAATTCATCAAAGGACAACTTTACCTTCAGATTTTGAAACAAACAATCATAAACATTAAAAAAATTATTTTAACATTTTTTCCCTTAAAAAAACCAAGTTAGGGTTGAGATCACCATCATTTCGACGAGCATTGAGAAGCATAAGGGACGAAGCTTTAATAAGTGCATGTAAGAAGAAAACAACTCCCTAACTCTATTAGATATGAATTTGAAATACTATATTTATACAATTTATATAATTTGTTTCATGTATTTCACTGTCTCTCTTCATTCCATCACTCGTATTATATATATTTATTATATGAATCTGTATTATATATATTTATTATATGAATCTGAATTATTGTATATATTATATTTGTTTAGATGAATAATATAATTTTTATATCTAATTTGCTATGAAATTTCTAAAATTTATATTTCTCATCCAAACAAAAAAAATGCTTTAAATAAATGTAAGCTTCGAGTCTTCGATCATAATAACTGATTTTTTTTTTTTTTTGAGATCCATGGTTTCATGATAACTGATACATTCTTTTCTTTTTTTTTCTTCTTCTTTTTTCACAAGCACTAAAAGAGAAGGGCTTGAGTTGAAGTACATAAATTTAGCCTGCAGCAATGAGAATCGTCCCTTGTGTCCTACATACAATATTTAATTTATTTTTTAATTTTATATTTTTTAATTTTACATCCACAATATTTAATTTATTTATTTTTTCACATATTTTCACTCTTTTTTTCAATTTTTACATGCACTCTCTTACCTTTCTTTCACCTCACTTATTTTGATAGCATGTGAAAACTAAAAGAAAAAAAACGTATGTGAAAAAAAAAAGTAGCAAATTGAAAGTTAAATATATAAAATTAGATTTTTTTTTAAAAAAAAAACTATAATATTTTATAATTTTTATAAAAAAAAATAAAGGAGGTGTACTTATTAAAAAAAAAGAGGTGTATATATCATGAGTCAAAGTTCTGACATGGTTGCAGACTGTGAGAGTTGAAGCCCAATTAGTTGACAAATGACACAATAGAGCCCAAATGCAACAATATGACATGATAATCAAGCCCAATTAAACCAGATAACCAATTTTATGATGTTGAAGCCCAATTGCACAATCAGAGAAGTCCCAACACAGTGCCTCATGCCGTGGACAAATTATTCAAGCGTTGTATACTTAAGATGTATGATGATTAAGCATTACACACACACACACACACAAATTTACTACAAGGGCTCAAATTTGAAAGGCTTTGAGATGAGTTGAAATTTGGACAGCAATTAAGCCATTTGAATTCTAACAATGAGTTCAAGTAATTTGTATAAACACTATTCTACTTTGTAAATCGAGTTTGCATTTTTCCCCCTAATATGTGAATTTTAGGAAGATACTAATACAACTATCATTTGTCATTTCAAGCACAAAGTCATTTTATTGAACAGTTCAGTGACAATTAGATTGGAATCTGCACAAATTGAATGAGAACATTTTTGACAACATATGACAATAAATATGTGTATTTTTTTTACAGCTTTATAATTGAAGCTATATTCAGAATATGATCTTCGATCACTTTGTGTTTGGCTTGCTCGCTGATTGTGGTAAATTGTCTTTACTAGTTTTACTAGCTTAAAGAAATTTTCTAATCTATACATGAAACTTCTAATCAACAATCAAAACTTAGATTCTTAATAATATCGAAATTACCAAAGATTATACAGGAAGATTCACCAAATTCTCAATAAAATGCATATATGAAATTTATTATAACATTTGTTGTTATTTATGTATTTATTTTTGCTTTAACACATGAGGAATAACTTCACTTTTCCTCAATCTATAAATACAACATTTTGAGTTTCAATCATTGCCTAGAGTTTGGAAAGAAAGAATTTACAATAAAAAAAAGAATCGCGAATTACCAAAACAAAAATAACGAGAGAAAAAACTCCTTTCTAATTCCCACTAATTTGCAAGAGATTTTTCTCTCTTGCTATTCCCTCTTTCTAATTTAATATTTAAAGATCAAATAACCCCAAGAGAGTTTCTCAAATTAATGAAGTATGACAAATTTTTGCATCTATAACAAGTCAGTTGTTCTTATCCCTCATTTTCTTTTTCTTTTTTCAAAATGAGAAAAATGTAAATCTTTTGCGGCTTCTATCTGGCCTTTGGATTAAAATTGCATCCGCCCACTAAAAATTTTTTGGAAAAAAAAAAATTGCGTCACAATAACTTAATTATATGCAATTTTTTAACAAAAAAAAGTTATAACTAAAATATAATAACACTAGAATTAGTTTGTCAAAAAAACAAACTTTTGTTACAATTTTATCATAATTTTATTATTTTTTAGTAATCTAACTAGTAAAATTAAATTACATCTATATATGCATGTATTTTAACTAGATTACTGATCATAGTTTCTTATATATTAGTATACTGTGATCTCTAATAATTATTGTTGAAAGTTTTTCTTAAGGCATGAAAACATTGTGTTCGTTCAACTTATATCGAAGAAATAATCATTTATATTTTATCATTTTTATGAAAATTTTTAAAAGATAAATAATTATTTCTTTAAAGCCGTTTCTAATCAAGCATGATGCATTTTGATGTTCAAACTCGAGAATATGTGTTGTGATGAATATAATTTATTCTTATACTATAAATTAGAACACTCAATATTTTTCAATTAAATATTTTTAGTATTATCTCTTTTTTATTTTCTAGAAATACATGTCACAACCTCCACGACCAAAATGTATTTGATTTTTTTTTAATGGTATATTTCTTTTAATTTACATTTCTTTTTATAATATCTTTGAAACAAATATTAATATTTTTAAGAGAAATTATTAATGATTATAATAACTCTACTTCATAATTTCAATTGTTCATTATAAATTATATTTTATAAAATATTTATTTGTTATAAATTTTAATTGTAACATAATTTATATATTTAAAATATGTATTTATTATAATTTTTAATTATATAAAATAAATTTATTATTTGTAAATATTAGTTGTTGACCATTGACAGTGATATTTAAAGACATCTCATGTCGTGCCATTAAATCAAGCATCCATTTTTTAATTAGTGGGAAAATAAAAAACAAAACAGCACATCAAGCCTCCATTTAAATCAAAATCTTATCCACCATAAACAAAATATCATGATAAAAAATATTGGGATTCAATTTTATTTTATTTTATTACTATTATTTTATAGAATTATGTATCCTTGACTGTGTTTGAATTGAAATCCATTATTGAGTTATCATGTATCAATTTCCGGATAAAAATAAATATGTCAGTATTTAATTTTCACTGTGGCATGAATCTAACTCAGTTGTATATTTTTTTTATATGAAATTTTAATTTTTTCATGTCTTTTCAGGATGAATTTAGATAACTCTGACGTTATATAAAAAAATGAATTATAAATCTAATTTAAACCTACAAAGTATATATAGATGAAAATTATCTTTTATTTTTATATTTTTTTATTATCTTATTTTTACTCGATGTTACAAATAGATTTTTTTCTAATATTCACCTTATAGCCAATTCCTGCAATGATTATAATCTTTCATGCAGTAGAATTTGCGATTTCTTTTATTAATTAAAGAGTTGTTCTTTCTTTCTTTTGGGACGAATAAGTACTCCTTTCAACCTCAAAAAATCCTTGCATATAATTTTTTGTTGTAAGTACATGCTATAATGTATCTATGATCTTTGATATATTGTTGAAGAAGAGTTAATTAACCTATAGACTCTAAGGATATAGATGCATTTATTTACAAAAAGATAAGCTTGCAAGATTCGCGAAGTCAACAAATCAAACTGAAAGGTACGCGTATAGAATTCTAGATAATCTAGTGATTGGAGTCCATAGTTAGATATATAATGTTGAAACTATGACCTATAAACAGCTGGCTAACTTGCGTTTTATGCTTTAATTAATTCCAAAATTATTTTTATCGGAAACATTAGATATACATAAGAATTAAAAATGCCAAATATTAAAACAAAAAAAAATTTAATTTATACATGATTATATTAATAAATTATAAATTTATTGTTTTTATTAAAAAAAATAGTACGCGCACATAGATCTTTTAAAAAGAATAGGTAGGCCGGAGTGGTCTAAAGTCTAAACCCATATGTCTCTCTTTAAATCTGTACTTAATCAAACATATTAACATAAAAATTTATAGTTATTTGGATTTTGCCATAATAAAATCCTAGCAAGGAGCGGGTTGGTCAACGTTTTGTTTTCAACACGTGGTTCATTTGTAATATAATTTTCTCTGTGTTTATTTCTTACCCTTTTTTTGTTATAAAAAATTTAAATGGGGATAATATTATAAAGAAATAAAATGACGATGGAAAAGAAAGCGAAGCGAGCCTCTTGGCAAGAACTAGAAGTTGTAGATGCAACGTGGCAGTCTTATTTGACTACATGAACACGTGAGTTGTCCTCAACATTCCGCAGGAACGAATCAAAGGTGGCAACTGTGATCTCTATATAAATAATACATGTGTGCATTGAATTCCTCACTTCCTCTCATACTCATTAGTTATAGCTATGGATAATTCCAGCTTCCAACGTCTTCTCACTCTCCTCCTGCTCCTATTCCTGATTGCACCCTCTTGGGCCCAACAATCCTTCAGGCCCAAAGCCCTCGTTCTCAAAGTTAAGAAAGACGCATCCACGCTCCAATACGTAACTCAAATCAACCAGAGAACCCCACTCGTCCCCATCAACCTCCTCCTCGATCTCGGAGGCCAATTCCTCTGGGTCGACTGCGACGCCGGCTACACCTCCTCCACATACCGCCCCGCACGCTGCCGCTCCGCCCAATGCTCCCTCGCCGCCTCCACCGCCTGCGGCGACTGCTTCTCCGCGCCCAGGCCCGGGTGCAACAACAACACCTGCGGCCTCACACCGGACAACACCGTCACGCACACCGCCACCAGCGGGGAACTCGCCCAAGACGCTCTCACACTCCAATCCACCAACGGCCTCAACCCAGGGCGAAACGTCTCCGTTTCACGCTTCCTATTCACCTGCGCCCCCACCTTCCTGCTCCAAGGCCTGGCCAAGGGTGTCTCCGGCATGGCCGGTCTCGGAAGAACTAAAATCGCTCTCCCCTCGCAGTTGGCTTCCGCGTTTAGCTTCCCTAGGAAGTTCGCCGTTTGCCTCTCATCCTCTTCAAACGGCGTCGCTTTCTTCGGCGACGGGCCTTACGTTCTTCTCCCCAACGTGGACGCTTCCGAGTTACTGACGTTCACGCCACTGTTTATCAACCCCGTTAGCACCGCTTCCGCTTTCTCCCAAGGAGATGCCTCAGCCGAGTATTTCATCGGCGTCAAATCCATCAGAGTCGACGACAAGGTTGTGCCGGTTAACACAACTTTGTTGTCCATAGACAGTAACGGCGTTGGCGGGACCAAGATTAGTAGCGTCGACCCTTACACGGTTTTGGAGGCTTCTCTCTATAAAGCAGTGACGGAGGCTTTTATCAACGCGGCGGCTGCGAGGAATTTAACGAGGGTGGGTTCCGTGGCGCCCTTTGAAGTTTGCTTCAGCACTGAGAACATGGGAAGCACGCGGCTTGGGGTGGCGGTGCCCATCGTTGGGCTTGTGCTGCAGAACCAGGACACGGTTTGGTGGATTTTTGGCGCCAACTCCATGGTGAGTGTGAGTGATGAGGTGCTCTGCCTTGGCTTTGTGAATGGAGGTGAGAACCCCAGGACTTCCATTGTCATTGGAGGGTATCAGCTTGAAGATAATCTCTTGCAGTTCGATTTGGCATCGTCTAGGTTGGGCTTTAGCTCTTTACTCTCTGGAAGCCGAACTACGTGCGCAAACTTCAACTTTACATCCTCTACTTAGAATACAACTTTCAATAATCTCATTCTCATTCACAATAAATATGCCTCCTATGGAATTTATGACTTGGAGTTTCATGTAAACACGTATTTTTATTTTATACTACTGCAGTGCAGTACTTCCTTCTGATATATACACAAGTTTGAATAGTTTATTTTATTTGAGACAATTAAGGTAAATAAATACGTACTCCCTTATTTTTTATTGATTAAAATGTGTCAAACCTTTATGGCTCTTTGTCTGCTTGTCGGGATGCATCATATGTTAGCTTGGCTTTTACACAATATCGATTTACGTATGTATAATATTTAATCTCGTTACCGTAATTGAAATACAGTAAGAAATTTCTATGAATTTATGAAATATGCTTTCCTGGTCAACCTCGACCACACTTCTTTATTTGCTTCTGTTATCTATGGAGCTTAATTGCACCTTGGTCAATCTTGATCACACTTACGAAAAGTACGTCACTTATGACTTCACGTCCACCATGTTCCATCATTTATCCCATCGGATCCTAGTGAATGGGTTATTGTCGGTGTCATTTTTAACCTTACGCAACTTGAAATGAGTTTTAGTGTGTTTGGATATTGAATTAGTGTGTTTGGATATAACATTCAATTCTACCTCTCCACTCATATCATGGTTTTTTATTTATTATTTTATCTTCATCATAAAATTATACGAGCAATTATGATGATTTCTCATAATAAAGTCAATTTAAACACATTCATAAAATTTAGTTTTAATTTGACAAAGTCAAACCGTTAGCTTAATAATCATAGTAGACACCTCATGACGGAGATAAAGTTCCTTTATCAAAGTTAATAAGTTCTACAATCAACAAAAAACAATTCACACTATCTGAAAAAAGTTAATTAATATTATTTAATTACATTAAATCTATTTTACAAAATAACTCATTTTTCTAAATTAATTATCATTTTAAATTTTTTTTTAATTAATAAGAATAAAAAATTATTAAAAGTACAATCTCAATTAAATGAATAAGTGTTTTAGAGATCATAGCATTAAATAAAGTAAATTTAGTTAAGATTTGTTTATATTTAAGATCAACAAACATAAATTTTTATTTGCTTATATCCAATAAATGGAGAGTATATATGTTGTAGCACTATTTAGCTCACTTTATAATTTTTTTTAAATGTTACTTAATAGTGTGACTATTGAATTTATAACATACAACTCATTATTTATATACATCCTTGTATGATCATGCATTATATCATGATGAACCTATTTTCTTTAAGAAAATGTTTATAATTGAGAATAAAATGAGTAAAGGAGTCATATAATTAGCTAATGGAGGTCATAAAGCTAGGGTTGCTAACCTTGACCTTAGGAGAAATCACATTTGGTAAGAAAGTCTCAATGGTCCATGTTGATCTCACACGAGTCAAGGCATATATCCTAATTAATAGTCATGGAGAGGTACCTTACTAGTTAATAGTGTTCGTGGCAGTCATATCCTGAATTAGGATGAGCCATTAGTTGTATGTATTCTAGTCCACTTTTGCTTGTTTTGACTTGGTATCACATGTATATGAGATGGAATACGAGGGAATTATATTACATCATATGTATGTGTTTGGAATAGATAAATGATGTATATGAATGACTTATCTTTTTTTTGTATGAAGACAAAAGATGTTTTACTTTAGTCTACATTAAAACAAATATTGACATATCATGATTACAATTTTGAAACATTACTTTTAAACCTTTTTACAAGAGCAATATTAATTAACATGAAAATATCGATATATAGGACTTAAATATAGAATTTATAACTAATAAGGTATGATATGTTGGTAGATAAATTTATTTCTTAACACGTGGTTTGATTTTTAATTTCTAGTCAGTGTATATATTAAAAAATATTTGTTAGAAGATGTCAATCTCTTTATTAGATCTCAGTATCTTGAGGAATTAATCCTTAATTTTTGATAAAGGGATACATAGTTTATCAAAAATAAAAATATGGAGTTTATAAAGTTTGGACAATCTTTATCTTACAAGTTAGTTTTAAGATGTTAAATTAGGTTATAAGTCTAAATTTTAAGATGATATATTAAAACTTATCTCGTATTCATTATTGAGTCACTTGCAATTGCAATGCTATAGCCCAAAGCGTGAAGAGGAATGTTTGAAAGTTATCTTAATTGCAATCACCCTAATCTGTCATAGGTGCTTTCTTTTTAGGCATTATACTATAATTGCATACTTAAGGATGTTAATTTAATTTCGCATCAACTAAAAATATGACTTAAATAAAACTTATAAAACTTAGATAATTCTCACCTTATATGTCAATTTGTGGATTAAGTTAGGTCTTAAGTTCAAATTATAAAATATTCAACAATCTCTAAAAAGTTGTCATTTATGTTTGACTATCATGGGACTACTGTATTTTTTAATTAGGTTGAAATCTCAACTGGTCTTTAAAAGTTGTCAATTTGTGTTTGACCGCATGAAAACTTAGATCGATTTTTTTTCCCTAGCTTAGCCTTTAGTTAGTTGTAAACTCAATGAATTGGTCCATGGCCCAATCATATTTAAAAATTATTTATTTATTTTTGTATATAACAAGTTAATAAAATATTTTTAATCATTATAAAGTAAAATAAAAATATATTATTGTTTATATTATAGAATGACAATATATAATATATAATACTAGAAATAAAAAAACAATAATGAGTATTAATTGTAACAATAAAAGTGTAAGAAAAAAAACTCATTGTCCAAAAATACTAACCTTGAATAACAATACAAATAGTATTAATTTTCTTATTTGTGATTTTATTAATATAAAAATTAAATAATAAAAATATAATTTGCTCACGGACTAACCTAACCTATTACAAGTAAACATCATAATAAAAATATTTCTCAAATTAAGTAAACTAAAATAAATTCAAGCTTAAGTTTCCACATTCCAAACCAAATCATATATTAAGCTATTTGAACTAACTCATTAGACTAATTAACCCCATTTTAACACTTCAAACCGTTGGTGAGAAAGACATCTTTGAGTCTCTATAGTTAAGGTATGCAATCCTTCTTTATTTAAGGTATGCAATCCTTAATTTTTTGATGTATGCTTTTGTAAGGTTTAATTATATATTGTTAAAATTATTATGTTGAGATAGCTAGTTGAGTTGTCTTGATCTATTTTAAATATTTTTGGATCTCGATCAAATCTAGTTCAACTTCACTAGATTAACTATATTAAGGATTAAAATCATATAAAGACATAAATATACTTATCTCAACTGGCATTACAAACACTTCTAATACACACTTTATAATTTCTTGAATAAATGTGTTACATGCATGTGATGTGTTTTTTCAACATACTCGTCAAATTAAATTTATTTTGCAAAAACTTAAAATATATAAAATACAAATATTACCACTCTACAATTTTTAATTGTATATAAATATTTTATTTTTAAATAATAAAAATAATTTTACTACATAATACTATCCATGCAAGAAAATTCAAGTAATCTTTAACAAATATTCATGATATCATTTAAAAATACTTATTTTTTTCTTGAACATTTCTGTTTAATTATCATACAAATTGTTAAACAATTTTCTAATTAAAATAAAGCTAAAATTATATTCAAAAATAATTATTTTGATTGTAATAAAATTTATTAAACAATTTTTACTTAATAGAGATTAAATGCTTAAAAACATTTATTCTAAATTACATTTTTGGTCCCCATATAATATTAAATTTATAATTTTGATCCTTTTATTTTTTAATCTATAATTTTAATTTCTTAATTTTATAAATCCACATATATTTAGTTCATTTGTTAAATGTTTATTCATTAATAATTAAAATTGTAACATTGATCATAATTTTACATTAAGTAGATGACAAAAAAGTTGATATTTAATGATATTTTGGTTAAAATTTATTTTTAGTCCTTATTTTTATCTCATAGATGTAGTAAAATAAGAACTAAAAATATAATTTAGCTTAAATATTAACTATTGTGTTATCTACATAGTATTAAGTCATAATGAATGTTATTGTACTATCGTACCATGAGCCGAGTTCCCAGCTCGGCATCACAGCGCATGATGATCTCGGATACGCGCTACGTGACGTCAGCTCGTCACTTAACCAGATCATAACTGATCTGAGGAGATCTCGGTCTAGATGAGATCCATTATCTAATCACATTATATCTTATCTCAGGCCCAAGGCCCAAAACAACCCTAAACCACACTAAGGTACGTGCATTACTTATACGAGACTCATACTCATACAAACCCTAACTTTAGCATCAGAGTCTCTTTTGCAGGTACCACCCCCATCTTGGCACACGAGACGTACCCGTGAAGGAGACTCACCAATCTTTCTTGGAGAATCAACCCTATGGCAAATTCCCAGTAAGAACATTTGGCGCCCACCGTGGGGCCGATCAAGACAGCTCTTATCGGCCACGCTTATGGTATTCACTAGAAGCCATAGCAGACGCGCAGCAGACGACGCAAATCATACAACCACCATGGATAACGAAGCGGCATTGAGAAGGCTGATCGAACAGGTCGAACAGATGCGGCAACAACATGATGCCGATCTGCAAAACATGCATGCCAAACACGAAACCGACCTAGCTGCAATGCGGACCGCCAATGAAGCAAGCAACTTCCACGAGGAAGAAGAACATTCAGTCTCTCAGCCCCGAGTCGCGACCAAGGCACCAACTCCACGACCTACCGCGCATCAGTCTCATGCACCGACGAACAAGTCGGCCCATGAAGTCAGTAAGGCCTCAACACATATCACAGGGGGTCAAGCGACTTTCCGATGTCATCCCTTTGTGGACGATATCATGGAGACACCACTCCCTCAGGGGTGGAAGCCTCCCCACCTCGACCGCTACGACGGCACGACGGACCCTGATGAACACATCGACTAGTACACGACACAGGTAAACCTCTACATTAACAATGACGCTATATTGTGTAGGGTTTTTCCGACCTCGCTCAAGGGGCCGCACTCAACTGGTACACCCAGCTTCCCGCTGAGTCAATCGACAGCTTCAGCACCCTGGTCAGGCAATTTACAGCGCAGTATGCGACGAGCCGACCTCACCACATCACTTCGGCCGCCCTAGCCATCCTTAGACAGAATGACGACGAGCCACTTCGGGCGTTCA